CTCCCTTATGCTGATGTGTTTTCCAAGACCAAGGCAGACCTGCTACCAGCTCAGAGGCCTTATGACTGTGAAATCCCACTCAAGGATGAAACTTGCAGCCCACCTTTCAAGCCACTGTACCACCTCTCTCCACCAGAAGCCAAGGCCCTCCAAGAATACATTGAAGAAATGCTGAACAAGGGATTCATCCAACCTTCCAAGTCACCAGCTGGAGCTCCCATCTTTTTTGTCAAGAAGAAGGATGGGGGACTGAGACCCTGTGTGGACTACAGAGATCTCAATGAGATGACAGTCAAGAACCGCTATCCACTGCCTCTCATCTCTGAATTACTGGACAAACTGAGCCATGCAAGGATATTTTCCAAGATTGACCTCAGAGGTGCCTACAATTTGGTCAGAATTAAGCCCCAGGATCAATGGAAGACTGCCTTCAGATGCAAATACGGTCACTTTGAGTACTTGGTATGCCCTTTGGACTTACCAATGCTCCAGCTATTTTCCAAGGCATGATGAATGACATCTCAGGGATATTCTGGACCTTTTGTCATTGTCTACCGTGGATGCTATCCTGCATTATTTTCATCTGCACCTGGCAAGCCATATGTGACATGTCAAGACTGTCTTGGAGAGACTCAGACAGCATCACTCTATGCAAAGCTGGAGAAGTGTGAATTCACAAGACTCCATTGAGTTTTGGGGTTCATTGGTCTGACAAAAGGGATCTCCATGGCACCAGACAAGATCCAAACTATTCTTGAATGGAAGGCTCCAAAATTCCATCAAGGATGTTCAAAGCTTCCTTGGATTTTTGCAACTTCTACAGAACCTTCATTGCCAACTATTCTGCCATAGCCAAGCCTCTCACTGATCTCACCATAGAAGACCACCCAAGTTTGAATGGACCCCCAGCAGCAGAGCAAGCCTGGCTAGCTCTTAAGACAGCAACCACAAGTGCACCACTCCTTAAGCATGTGGATCCCTTGCTTCCCTTCACCTTGGAAACTGATGCCTCAGACTATGCCCTTGGCGCTGTTCTGTCCCAGCCAAGCTCTCAGGACCCCTCTGCTCCTCTGCATCCAGTGGCATATACTCAAGGAAGCTGAACAGTGCTGAGTGTAACTACACAGTCCATGACAAGGAGTTGCTTGCAATTGTGGAAGCATTCAAATTCTGGAGACACTACTTGGCTGGTTCTAAAAAACATCTCTGTCTATTCGGATCACAAGAACCTCACCTTCTTCAGGGCAAGGAGGTTGCTCAAGGCAGAGGCATGCCAGGTGGGCTGAAACTGCTCTCTGAGTATGACTTTAAGCTGTGCTATTCTCCTGGCCACCTTAACACTGTGGCTGATGCCCTGTCAAGAAGAACAGACCTTGCACCTGAAGGGGGAGATGGTTTCACCCCACATCCAAGACACACCTTTCATTGCTTCCTGACAGTGTGTGGGCCCATGCTATTTCCAAGGACCCCAAGCCTCACAAGATTCAATCAGCCAAGAAGAGGAAAAACTTGAGATACTCAAGACAAGGCATGATGCAGCAACAGCTGGACACCCAGGAGAGCACAAGACATATGAGCTTGTTTCCAGAGACTTCTACTGGCCAGGCATGAGGAAGTACATCAAGAACTATGTCAGCAGCTGTGAAACCTGTCAAAGAAACAAATCCAGCAGACACAAGCCCTATGGACTTCTGGAGCCCCTCCCAATTGCCATCAGCCCTTGGTCATCAATATCCATGGACTTCATTGTGAAACTGCCCCCATCCCATGGATTTGACTCTATCCTTGTTGTCATCTGCAGAAGGACAAAGTTGGCCCATTTCATCCCCTGCACTGAGAATATAGATGCACAAGGAACAGCAGACCTGTTTTTGCAGCACATATTCAGGCTCCATGGGCTGCCTCAGTCAATCGTCAGTGACAGAGGACCACAGTTCAGATCTCAATTTTGGAAAGCACTCACAGCAGCCCTTGGAATCAAGTCTCAACTGTCAACTGCTTATCACCCTCAGACTGATGGACAAACAGAAAGAACAAAACCAGACTCTGGAGCAGTATTTGAGGGTGCTATGTCAGCTATCAACAGGATGATTGGCCCACCCTCCTTCCACTGGCAGAATTTGCTCTCAACAATTCTCTCCACTCAAGCACCCAGCTATCTCCTTTCTTTGCAACCTATGGCTTCAATCCAAGAGGAGATCTTCTGGGACAAGAGACCCTATCCAATGTCCAAGCTCCTGCTGCGGCTTCACACTTACATAAGCTCAAGATCATCAACTCCTTCCTGGACTCCACCCTGAAGCAAGCCCAAGAAGATGCCTCAAGATTTGCCAACACTCACAGAATGGACCATGACCTTGCTGTGGGTCAGCAAGTTTGGCTTCTGAGGAAGAACTTGCAGACCAAAAGACCAAGTCCCAAGCTAGACAACCTCAAGTTGGGTCCTTTCAAGATCTTGGAGCAAATCAATCCAGTCACCTTCAAGCTGGATCTCCCTGCATCCATGAAGATCCACCCAGTTTTCCATGTCAGCCTTTTAGAGAAGTTTGTGGCCAATTCCATTCCAGGCAGAGTTGTTCCTCCTCCTCCTCCAGTTGAGGTAGAAGGTGAAGAGGAATTTGAGGTTGAACAAATCTTGGATGCCAAGTGGTTTGGAAGAACACTCAAGTTCCTTGTTAAGTGGAAAGGTTACTCAGATGCTGACAACACCTGGGAGCCTGAGTCAAACCTCACTCACTGCCAAGACCTTCTGCTCGAGTTCAAGACCAGGTACCCCACCAAGTTGCAGAAGAGGCCTAAAAGGGGGAGATGATGTTATGAATCACCCTCTGGAAACCTCTGGAACCTTCTAGAACATTCCTTCATGGAACCTTCTGGAACCTTCTGGAACCTTCTAGAACATTCCTTCATGGAACCTTCTGGAACCTTCTGGAACCTTCTAGAACATTCCTTCATGGAACCTTGTGGAACCTTCTGGAACCTTCTTTGCTTTCCTGACTTGTCTTGTTGTCATTGGTATCATTGGTATCATTGTATTACTAATTGCTCTTTCTGGAACTTTCTTGGAGTCTTGACAAGGAACACTCTCAAAAGGTATAAAAGGGGGATGGGGGACCTGTCCCATCCCTCAAGTGAATTATTGTTTCCAATACAATCATCACTCCTCTCAGTTCCTTGTCTGCCTTGTCCTGTCCTGCCCTGTTCCTGACAGGCTGGAACAATATAAAAAAAAATAAAAACAAGATTGTTATTCAGACGTCGGACCCAATTTGGCCCTGACTCCCAAACCCCAGAGGCTCACAAAATCTGAAAACAAAAAGGGAGAAGGCCAGAGACTCGCAGACCAAAAAAAAAACTAAATAAATAAATATATGAATAAATGAAAATTAAAATAAAGTGAAGCAACGAGGCTGCCACTCAGCCCCTTTCGTCCTGCACAGGATTCGAACCTGCGCTCCCAGAGGGAAATGCCTTAGCAGGGCACCGCGTTAACCACTCCGCCAACAGGACCCTCAACAAGTCCCTTTGGGCAAACAAGCCTCTTGCAAATGGGACTACCTGAAGCCTTTTCATACACTGCCCAACAGCAAGACAGCAAGATCCTCTGCAACTGCAGTATTCAAGCATGAACTTGGCTGGAAGTATGCTTACTTAAAGCTGCTTTTGACTTGGCGCATGCAAAATCCTGGTGCTATTGCTGCAACTGAAGACATTCAAGTATCTCCAGCCATCCATGAGCATAGCAGGACTTAAACCTGCAATCTTTCGAGCCAAAGTCGAACGCGGGTAACCATTTTGCCATATGCCCACACCAAATTTGGCTATGCAGCGAGATCTGTAAAAGACTGTCAACTTTTCCCCCCTGCTCGTTTCCTGTTTTTTTTTTTTTTTTTTATTTGTTGGTGTGTTCTGTCTTTCATTTCACTCCCCTTACCATTCTGCAGGAGGCTATTGTTCAAGAGGACCAATGGCAAGGGGATTAACTGCATGAAGGTGCAACAATCACCATGCTGCACAACGCAACGTTACATGGGGTAAAGTGCCTGTCTTGGTCAGGCTTCCACAGTCCAACCCCCCACATCATGCTGGATTCCCAACCAGACTTAAGTTATTTGTTTATCTTTTTTTTTTCTGCTCAGTCTGTCAGCCAGGAGCCAGACATTAGAATAAAGAAATTTACAATCGGCTGAACAAGCCTAAAGCAAACACTCAACAGAAAGTTGAGGCTTTTTTCCAGCTTGTTCAAACACAGTGCAGAACAGGTCATCAGGAGTTGCGCTCCCTTCCTACATGGTTTCACCGAGGTTCGAACTCGGAACCTCCTGTGTATGAGTCAGATGTGATAACCAACTACACCATGAAACCACATGCCTGGATTTGTCAAAATTATGACACCAATATGCACTTGTTTGCCAGAAATCGTTTGCATGTTCGTTGAAAAAGTGAATGAAATGAAGGCTGGAGTTGGCCTGGGTTGAGCCACCATGATGCATGCAGCGACTCAGCTACTGCCACACCACAGTTCAGTCAACCAAACCATCTCCTTCTTAAAGCAGAAAGCGGTATTGTAGGCAGTTCCTGCTTCTAATAGCAGCAACAATGCAACAAAGGAACAGCCAGCTGCTCAGACAGGTTAAGGTTTAAAATATTGTGTTTTTGTCCTCCTGATTTGATCTGTGCTTTGACTTTCTGACAAACCAGCATTTCATGCAGATGGACTGTGGGATGGGTGTGCTGATTGCGTTGTTTTTTTTTTTTTTTTTTTTTTTTTTTTTTTTTTTTTTTTTTTTTTTTTTTTTTTACAATTTGTCCGATATCTTGTGGCAAGGGCAACGACCTATGTACAAATGTTTGGAGTAAAACATTAGGCTGCAAAAACTGTGTCCACGGTCCAACATCCAGTTACATCCTTCATGGCCGACTCAGGCTGTTTGCGTTTGTAGAGATTTTGTTGCTCTTGGTTGGGGCAAGAGGCACACTTTTGAGTGGCAGAAGCCTTCAAAGCAAGTCAAACCCAAATAAGGATCTGGTCCCTGAACTTGTTTGTTATCTGGCTGCATAGTGTAGGGGTTATCACGGATCCCGGTTCGATTCTGGGGACCCCGGTTCGATTCCGGGTGCCGTCTTCATTGAATACTGAATTAATCCGCCAATGGTATCTTGTACACTATTCCACCACCATGTATGGCTGTTGTCGGCAGAAAATTGCAACATGCTCTAAGAGATCTGTCCTTTATCCCGCCTTTGCAGAAATGATTATCATGCCACATTTCTGACGCAGTCTTGTCCTAAAATGAACCTGCCGAGCCACAGTTGTGTGCTGGTTGCACAAACAGTGCTCGCAATCGTGGAGTGGTGGAGTTGCAGGGTGGTAACAGAGTAGCTGACAAGCAGAGTGGAGCTGCAGAGTTGCAGGGTTGCAGACCTGCCAAGTTGTGGCCAAGTGGCATAGCAGCAGAGAGGCAGAGTCCCAGAGTCAGGGGGTTGCAGAGTTGCAGCAGAGCAGTGGAGTTGCAGAGCAGCAAAGAAAATCAGAGTTGCAGACAAGCAGTGTTGTTATGAATCACCCTCTGGAAACCTCTGGAACCTTCTAGAACATTCCTTCATGGAACCTTCTGGAACCTTCTGGAACCTTCTAGAACATTCCTTCATGGAACCTTGTGGAACCTTCTGGAACCTTCTTTGCTTTCCTGACTTGTCTTGTTGTCATTGGTATCATTGGTATCATTGCATTACTAATTGCTCTTTCTGGAACTTTCTTGGAGTCTTGACAAGGAACACTCTCAAAATGTATAAAAGGGGGATGGGGGACCTGTCCCATCCCTCAAGTGAATTATTGTTTCCAATACAATCATCACTCCTCTCAGTTCCTTGTCTGCCTTGTCCTGTCCTGCCCTGTTCCTGACATCATAATTCACTTCACCCTCTCCCACTACTCTCTGCCATCATGTCTGACCCAAACAACACCTTCCCTGATGCAACTGCCTTCCAAGCCTTGATGGACCAATTACAAGCCCTCTCAAGACAGACACACCAACTTCAAGAACAAGTCCTTCACCAGCAGCACCAGCTTCAACAACAACTTCACCAACAAGAACATCAAGCTCTTCCCCTGCCTCAAGCCAACCAAGCAAGAGAGCCCAAGGTTCCCAGCCCTGACAAGTTCACTGGGCTGGCCAAAGACCTTAGGAACTTCATGGCCACTGTGGAGAATGTCATCCTTCTCCAACCTTCAAGATTTCCAAGTGAGCAAGTCAAGGTTCTTTTCACAAGCACCCTCCTGTCTGGTCAAGCTCAATCATGGTACAGATCTCTCCCAAGCACACCCACCACCCTGCAAGAGCTCTGGGAGGGGCTGGAAGCTACCTTTGGTGACCCCTACGCATCTTGGACAGCAAGATCCAAGCTCAAGCATATCAAGCAAGGAAAGCAATCTTGTGTGGCCTACACCAACCAATTCAAGCAACTAGCCAGAGACTCTGGATACAATGATGCAGCTCTGATGGAGCTGTACCATGATGGTCTCCATGAGTCTATCCAAGACATGCTCTCCCAGTCTCTGCACATCCCTGAGACCTTGGAAGAGTACATTCTCCTTGCCATCAAGATTGACAACAGACTCTACTCCAAGAGGCTGAAGCAAAGACAAGTAGGAACTACATCAAGACCTACCCCAGTCCCTCAAGCTCTTACAGTTCCTGAACCCATGCAAGTGGATGCAGTTGAGACACTTCCTAAGGGTCCTCTGAGCCAAGAGGAGAAAACAAGGAGGGCCCAGCAGGGACTGTGTTTTTACTGTGGCTCCAAGGAGCATGCTGTCAAGGACTGCCCAAGGAAGAAGCACCCAAACTCCCAGGTCCAGGCTCACTGAGGGGCAATTCCCTGGACCCTCCTCCAAGCTGCCCCTGTTTCATCACCACCACCAGCACCACAAACACCTCAGATTCCAAGCCCCACCAACTCACCATGGATGTCAAGATTCAACTCTCACCCAAGTCAACCATCACAACCAAGGCCCTTATAGACTCTGGATCATCCTGCAACATCATTGATGCCACCCTTGCCAAGTCTTGTGCCATTCCTACGATCAAGAAATCCACACCCCTCAAGGTCCACTTTGCCAATCATGCTCTGTTCAAGGAAATCAGCCATGAAACCAAGCTAAACCTCCACATCCAAGACTTTCCACCATCCATGGTCAATCTGGAAGTATTGGATCTTGGCTCACCCACATTCTCTGTCATCCTGGGATTACCATGGCTGCAAGCCCAGAACCCTGCCATTGATTGGGTCACTGGTCAAGTCCAACCTCCACCAATCGGAACAGTCACCCAAAACTCAAGTCAAGCCCCCAAGTCTCATGCTCTCAAGCCCTTGATTCAAGATTCACAGCCAGCCAAGACTCCAGTTCCACAGTTCACAGTTCACAGTCAAGATTCAAGTAGAGCTCATAGAGCTCACAGTCATGGCCATGACTCTTGTTCACAGAACCCACAGTCAAAGATTCAAGTACCACAGTTCACAGTCCACATTCAAGATTCAAGTTCCACAGCTCACAGTCTTTGCCAAGAACAGAACTCTCAGTCAAAGATTCAAGAATCACAGTTCCCAGTCAAGAATTCAAGCCCCACTGCTGAGGAGCACGACAACCTGGACCCATCAGACCTTTTGCTGGCATCCAAGCTACCAAAAGAATATCTCCCTTATGCTGATGTGTTTTCCAAGACCAAGGCAGACCTGCTACCAGCTCAGAGGCCTTATGACTGTGAAATCCCACTCAAGGATGAAACTTGCAGCCCACCTTTCAAGCCACTGTACCACCTCTCTCCACCAGAAGCCAAGGCCCTCCAAGAATACATTGAAGAAATGCTGAACAAGGGATTCATCCAACCTTCCAAGTCACCAGCTGGAGCTCCCATCTTTTTTGTCAAGAAGAAGGATGGGGGACTGAGACCCTGTGTGGACTACAGAGATCTCAATGAGATGACAGTCAAGAACCGCTATCCACTGCCTCTCATCTCTGAATTACTGGACAAACTGAGCCATGCAAGGATATTTTCCAAGATTGACCTCAGAGGTGCCTACAATTTGGTCAGAATTAAGCCCCAGGATCAATGGAAGACTGCCTTCAGATGCAAATACGGTCACTTTGAGTACTTGGTCATGCCCTTTGGACTTACCAATGCTCCAGCTATTTTCCAAGGCATGATGAATGACATCTTCAGGGATATTCTGGACCTTTTTGTCATTGTCTACCTGGATGATATCCTGGTATTTTCATCTGACACTGCAAGCCATATGGGACATGTCAAGACTGTCTTGGAGAGACTCAGACAGCATCACCTCTATGCAAAGCTGGAGAAGTGTGAATTCCACAAGACCTCCATTGAGTTTTTGGGGTTCATTGTGTCTGACAAAGGGATCTCCATGGCACCAGACAAGATCCAAACTATTCTTGAATGGAAGGCTCCAAATTCCATCAAGGATGTTCAAAGCTTCCTTGGATTTTGCAACTTCTACAGAACCTTCATTGCCAACTATTCTGCCATAGCCAAGCCTCTCACTGATCTCACCAAGAAGACCACCAAGTTTGAATGGACCCCAGCAGCAGAGCAAGCCTGGCTAGCTCTTAAGACAGCAACCACAAGTGCACCACTCCTTAAGCATGTGGATCCCTTGCTTCCCTTCACCTTGGAAACTGATGCCTCAGACTATGCCCTTGGCGCTGTTCTGTCCCAGCCAAGCTCTCAGGACCCCTCTGCTCCTCTGCATCCAGTGGCATATTACTCAAGGAAGCTGAACAGTGCTGAGTGTAACTACACAGTCCATGACAAGGAGTTGCTTGCAATTGTGGAAGCATTCAAATTCTGGAGACACTACTTGGCTGGTTCTAAAAACATCTCTGTCTATTCGGATCACAAGAACCTCACCTTCTTCAGGGCAAGGAGGTTGCTCAAGCAGAGGCATGCCAGGTGGGCTGAACTGCTCTCTGAGTATGACTTTAAGCTGTGCTATTCTCCTGGCCACCTTAACACTGTGGCTGATGCCCTGTCAAGAAGAACAGACCTTGCACCTGAAGGGGGAGATGGTTTCACCCCACCATCCAAGACACACCTTTCATTGCTTCCTGACAGTGTGTGGGCCCATGCTATTTCCAAGGACCCCAAGCCTCACAAGATTCAAATCAGCCAAGAAGAGGAATTTGAGGTTGAACAAATCTTGGATGCCAAGTGGTTTGGAAGAACACTCAAGTTCCTTGTTAAGTGGAAAGGTTACTCAGATGCTGACAACACCTGGGAGCCTGAGTCAAACCTCACTCACTGCCAAGACCTTCTGCTCGAGTTCAAGACCAGGTACCCCACCAAGTTGCAGAAGAGGCCTAAAAGGGGGAGATGATGTTATGAATCACCCTCTGGAAACCTCTGGAACCTTCTAGAACATTCCTTCATGGAACCTTCTGGAACCTTCTGGAACCTTCTAGAACATTCCTTCATGGAACCTTGTGGAACCTTCTGGAACCTTCTTTGCTTTCCTGACTTGTCTTGTTGTCATTGGTATCATTGGTATCATTGCATTACTAATTGCTCTTTCTGGAACTTTCTTGGAGTCTTGACAAGGAACACTCTCAAAATGTATAAAAGGGGGATGGGGGACCTGTCCCATCCCTCAAGTGAATTATTGTTTCCAATACAATCATCACTCCTCTCAGTTCCTTGTCTGCCTTGTCCTGTCCTGCCCTGTTCCTGACAAGTGTGTAAACAGTCTACTCTGAGTGAGTAAGTGGAAAGAGTGAATGAAGTGGAGATGTGTGTTTGTGGGTGGTCCTTCTCCCCACTTGGAGAGAAAGAGAAAAAACTCTGTTATGAATTATTGATACATAATGATGTTATGTATGCTGTAATAGTTGCTAGGCAAGACAGGGTAAAACCTCTCCTATATTATCTGCTTGAGCAGAGGAGGAGGAAAACTGTTTACACCAGGTTTCCGTTCCACTTAAAACTCAGAGTATTTGTCAACAGTGCAAGACAGCACCCAGGTCTGCATTGGCAGTGGCTTGCTCTCCCCATGGACATTGCGTAGAACAATAACTGACAGTCACACTAGGTTCAGGTCTGTCTTGTGCCTC